AGACAGATTTTAAAATGTTCCTTAGAAGACAGAAAGTAGAATAGTGGTTGCCAGGGACTTGGGGGGTGGGGGGATGGGGAATTTTGTTTAATGGGTACAAGAGTTTCAGTTTGGGATGATGAAAAAGTTTTCAAGATGGACAGTGTTAATGGTTGTACAACACTGTGAATGTACTTAATTTCATTGAATTGTACACTTGAAAATGGGTAAAATGGTGGGTTTTATGTTGCATATATTTTACCAAAAATTTTTTTTTGTTTAAAAAAAATGGTCCCTAGAAAAAGTCCCTGGTCCGTGCCCCTGTCCTCAGCCCAAGGCTTTTCAACAACAGCACCATCCACATTTGGGGCTGCGTAATTTTTGTCGTGAGGGCTGTCCACTACCCACCAGAAGCCACTGTCTGTCCCCCCAACCCACAGTGTGGTGACCAAAAGCGTCTCAGACACATTGCCAAATGTCCTCTGGGGGGGGCAAAATTGCCCCCAGCTGAGAACCACTGCCTCCACTGCTTGGAATGAGCTGCTCGTGGGAGGGGCCCAAGAAGCAGGTGGGCAACAGAGAAGCAGGAGGCATTTCCCTGGGGTGGAGGGGGTCTTGCCTGGAAGGAAGGCAAAGATGGGCAGACTCTGAGGGGCCCCGGGAGGTGGGCCCTGGGTGGGGTTAGGCGCACGGTGGGGACAGACTCTGCGTGATGCGTTGTGTCCACCACCCCAGGGGGAAGAAGTGAGGGGACCCGTGGCTGCCGCTCCCATCCTGCTTCCACTCCCGCCCACTTCCCGCACCCCACAGGTGGGAAGAAGGGGAGTGCAAATTGTCACCTCTAGCTGCTGGCGGTGCCTTCTACAGGGACCGGGGGCTTCTGCCGCTACCCCTCCCCACCCTGGGAACAATGAGTGTCTCAGGGTGTGCCGTGTCTCCTTTCAAGGCAACTGTAAAGAATAAAAGCAAACAGAAACAGGATTTTTAACAGTTACACTTGACATGAACAAAGTTGAAACTCCCTCTAGACGTGTGAACTGGGTGCTCTCACTCGTAACCTGGTCTTTGGCATTAAGGGATCAATTATGACTATTGAACACCTGCCAGGTGCCCTACTCTGCGCCCAGTCTAACCTAATAAAGCGAGTCCCTGCCTCTAGGAGGCGACAAGCTAGTGGGGGGTGGGGGGAAAGGAGGGCACAGGCCTGGCTGGGGTGGCCACTCCTGGTGGCTTCCAGGTCTGCTCTTCTCACCTGAGATGCCCTTTTAGGGAGCACCCGGCCCCTCCCTGGAGATTTAGAGTTGCGTCAGTCCATCTGCCTGTGGACCCCCTTCCTTCCTCTCAGTGGTTTCTTCTGGGTGGATCTGACCTGCCCAGTTACCCTGAACTCCAGAGAGAGGGCCAGTGAGGGGCCACTACTGGCCGTGTGTGTGTGGGGGTTCTTGATGGGTAAGATGGATCAAGGGTTGACCGTGGCAAGAGCCAGCAGCTCCCCTAAGCCCAGAGCTTTGGTCAACTCAGGGTCATCCACGACCAGAGAGGGCGGGCAACGGGGGATGGGCTGGTCGGGAGGAAAGGAGGGAGAGGACTCGTGAGATTGGGGTGGATTTCAGCCCACTGAGCTACCCCCGGGGCTGGAGCTATGCAGGGTGCTCCCCTACCCCTCATCCGCCCACCTCGGGAAGGATGGCGTGTCTCATGCTGCTGCAGACTGGGGTCCTCCAGGGCAGGCCTGGGAGGGGTGCCCGATCAGGGTGGGTTGGGACCCTGGGGCTGGGTTGAGTCTCGGAGCAGGTACTCCTGGGTCTCTATGCTATGGAGCTGGCAGTCAACAGGAAGTGAGTTCCAGGGTGAGAAGAGGCCGTGTGGTCCCCGGGCAGGAAGTGAGTGACAGCGGAGTTGTCTGAGCAGTTTGTGGGGCTGGGAGCCTGCCTCGACTTGAGGTGTCTGTGGGGAAGCAAGTGGCTAGAGGAAAGGAGGACCACGGCCATGGTAAGAGATTGGCGCTGACCCAAACTTCTCAGCCTGCGTTGGCCAGCGGGATCCCCTACCCACCTCCCTGGGAGTGCCGCATTTGGGGCTCTGTGGCGCTGGCACAGCCGGGCCTGAGGGTAGCATTGGGGGCCCAGGCGTGCCTGGCTCTCTGGGTTGCCTGGGCCACCTGACTCTCTCACACACAGGAGCCTCGAGGAATGAGAGGATTTATCCAGGGAGGGGAATTCTAGGCCAGGGAGCCTGCTGGCTTGAGCAGGGAGGTGGGAAAGACCTGAGTCCTGAACAGGGTGTGTGGGTCCTGACACCTGGGGATGGCAGCTGAAGAGAGAGACAGGGCCTGGCTGCTCCACTGGCTGTCCTGCGTTTGGCCTCCTGGCTCTACCGGCTTCAGCCCCGAGTGCCCAACCCTGGTGGAGGACTTCTCCCTTCCGCCAGAGGCCAGAGGCCTCGTCTTCCTCTTGCTGCGGCCCCCCACCCCTGCTGCTGAGGCGCACACACGTTTGTAGCTTTCTGCAGGAGGTTTTCTTCCTGGAAGCAGGCCTGCCCCCGGCCGTCCCACACAGCCCTCCACACAGCCAGGAGAGCAGCCTGGCAAGGCTGCGCGTTCCCTCTGCTCACCCTCAGCTGCTCCTTGTAGGGACTCGTCCAGGGAGGACGCTGGTTTTTCTTTTTGTTATTTTTTAACAAGGCCCACGTCCCTATTCGCCACCTCGGGGGTTTCCTCACCATACAACAGTGGGCTCAGAGTTGAGATCGTAGATCCTTGGAGCAGAAGCAGCCTTGGAGGCTGCCGGGCCTTGCAGGGAGGGTCTGGGGAAACCAGCGCTCTCTCAGACTTTGGGGGGTGCTTCAGGGATACAACTCTCTGGAGGGAATTTGGCAGGATCTACTCACATGTAGATGGGCAGGCCCTCTCCCCCCAGGCCAGTCCACTTCTGGGACTCTGGCCTACAGAAATCCACAGGTGCGCAGAGCTGTTAAGTGCAAGGGGTTCACTGCAGGAGAAAGCAAATCAGCCCAAAGGCCCACCATTAGGAGATGGTTTGAATAAATTAAGGAGCATCCATTCGATAGAATGCTGAGCAGCTGAGACAGAATGAGCCCGATCCATACACACTGGTATGGAGAGATGCCCGCTGTGCTTGCTAAGTGAAAAAGCAAGTTGCAGAACAGGATAAGTCGTATGATCCCTTCTTAGGGGAAAAAAAAACCTGGATCTGGATGTGTGTATAAATACATGTGTATAAACATGTAACTTACACATGATTGTAGATGCATAGAAAAAAAGTCGAGAAAAGCTACTTGCCAAACTGTTAACAAGCAATTTTTAAAAATCTTTTCTTAAATTTATTTATTTAGTTTTTGGCTGCACTGGGTATTCGTTGCTGCGCGCGGGCTTTCTCTCATTGCGGCGGGCGGGGGCTACTCTTCGTTGCAGTGCGCGGGCTTCTCCTTGCAGTGGCTTCTCTTGTTGCCGAGCACAGGCTCTAGAGTGTGTGGGCTTCAGTAGTTGCAGCACGCTGGCTCAGTAGTTGTGGCTTGCAGGCTCTAGAGCGCAGGCTCGGTAGTTCTGGTGCACGGGCTTAGTTGCTCCATGGCATGTGGGATCTTCCCAGACCAGGACTCGAACCCGTGTCCCCTGCATTGGCAGGCGGATTCTTAACCACTGCGTCACCAGGGAAGTCCCAGACTGTTAATAATGGTTCACCTGTGGGGAGTGATTTTGGAGGTACAGAAGTGAAATAGGAACTTTAACCTTTTAATACTACTCATTTTTGTGTGGTTTGAGTTTTTATAATATATGTGTCTGACTTTTATAAACAGAAAAAAAACTTGAAAAGAAGGAAACCCTCCATTGGTCTAGCCTAGTCATCTCACCTTACAGGTGGGGAAACTGAGGCGCCCTCTTGAGCGGCACCTTCCTGAGGTGTTTGCTGAGCTGGTGCCGCTCCCGCCCTTCTCCACGCAGCTGATCTGCAGGGGAGCCGATGGGCAGGGCTGCTGGGGGCGGCCTAGTGCCCACGGATGTGGCAGAGCGCCAAGTATAGGGGACTCTTGTCTCTCCTGCCCCAAGAGGACACCTTCGTTCCTTCTGATATGTCCTGGCCTAGCTGCCCCCAGATGGCCAAGGACCAAGTGCTGGCCACGCTCTGTCCTCAAAGTGTGTGGCCTCAAGCTAATCACAAAATTCTCTGAGAGCCTCCCCAGGGAGGTCGAGTGGCTCTGAGGGGTAACGGGTGAGGAGCTTTTGCCCACCATGCAGTGACACTTATGAAGGACGGTTATGACAACTCTGTGTGATTCTTGTAGCAAGCTCAGTTCTGAGACTCTTGGGAACAAAGCAAGACACTTCCTCTTGGAGGGGAACGTGGCGCCGCGTGCTAGGGAGGGTTGCTGCAGAGACTGCGGTTGCTGGCTGGGACCTTGGCTCTCCTGGGGTCTGAGCGCCCAGGAAAGGCTGTGGGCCAAAGCTGAGGGAGGGACCTGTGCTAGGCTTTGGGGCCCAGAGGAGGCCCTCTTTCACCCTCACACTCCACCTGGCCAGGCAGCAGCTCGAGAGACCAAGAGGACAGCCAGGGGGGCTTTGGCACAGAAGTCAGATCAGCCCGGGGTTACTAGAATCTTCTGAGAAGGGGTCCTGGCTTGAAGTAGGGATAGCGTGAGGAGCATCTGTTTTCAGTAGAGGCCACAGAGAAGACTTGGGCACCCTGTGTCACCTCAGTGAGTGGGGATGGCCTGGCTGGGGCGCAGCTGGCAGTGGGACCAGGCTGTTAAACCTGCTCGGTTTCTTCTCCCGTTTTCTTAACTGGAGTCCACAGACCTCTTGACTTCAGGGGGTCAGGCCTGTGAACCCCTTGAATCTGAGAGAACAATTGTGAAGACAGTTTTCTGGACAGCGGGTGTATATGTGAAGACAGTTTTCTGGACAGCGGGTGTATAATTTTCACCGGAATCTCAGATGGGTCAGTGATGCAAAAGGGGCTGAAACCACTGGTCTAATTCTCCCCTCACGTTTATCTTTCCAGGTGGAAAGCAGTGACACGCCGAAGGACCCGGCCGTGACCTCCAAGTCCCCGTCCATGGCCCAAGACTCAGGCCCCTCAGAGCTGTTACCCAACGGGGACTTGGAGAAGCGGAGTGAGCCCCAGCCAGAGGAGGGGAGCCCCGCTGGGGGGCAGAAGGGCGGGGCCCCAGCAGAGGGAGAGGGTGCAGCTGAGACCCCGCCCGAAGCCTCCAGAGCCGTGGAGAATGGCTGCTGCACCCCCAAGGATGGCCGGGGAGCCCCTGCAGAAGAGGGTAAGTCCTGGGCAAAAGCAGGGCAGCCTCTGCTGGGCTGGCTGGGATCCCCCTGAGGGTTAGAACCTCGGGGCTTAGTGGGTCCCAGGAGGCCTGGGCTGGGCACGGTAGCTGAAGGTCTGCTTGCCAAAGCTGTGCCCTGCAGGCTGGATACAGCCTGCACACATTTTTTATTTGGCCCATGTAGTATTTTAAACATTAAAAAAAATGAGTTGCCAGTATTTAAGAATCAAGAAATTTCACATAAAAATCTGGAGTTTTGGCTTCTCATGAAAAAAAAAAAAAAAAAAAAGCTAGATCTGGCAACAGTGAGTTTACAGAATGCCATTGGTTGCTGGACTGGGGTGATGGCTGTCTCCCCATAGGCTGGTTGTATGCCTCGCTTTCCCTCAGCCTTTGCCTGGCCTGCTTACTCTTCCGCAAGACCTGCGGCTCTTCGGGATCCACACGTTGGTAGCCCCTGGCCTGGGCGCTCGAGGGCAGCAGATGTCCTTGGGGATATTAAAAGCCCAGTTAGCTTTTCCCAGTGCAGATGTCCTGAGCCCACCATAGTTGAGTGGACTGGACTGAAGTTTGGTGGTGACAGATTGGGGGAGGGGAAGAGCAGGGGGGAGTTGAGTGTGCGCTGCCCAGCCCAGGCCTCTTCCTCTGAGGACTTTGTGGCCTAGCCGTGGAGTCCTGGAAAGTTGCCCACTTTTCTCTTTAAGGTTAAGCCAGCGATTTCGGGGCCAACAGAGCTGTAAACATGTTAGTAATGAGGACAACTAGCATTTGTACAGGGCTTCACAGTTTACGAAGCACTTTCTCATACATTATCACATTTGATCCTCCCAGGGCCCTGCCAGGTTGTTTTGCATATGTGCATTTTAATTTCAAAAAGCCTTCCTTCCTAAGTGTACATGATGGAGTGAATCAATCGATTAATTGGCATAACTTAATTTTGCATGCATTCAAACCTAATATTCGTGCAAGGTAGTCAGAGCATCTCCGGAAAAGAGATTCCCAAATTTATTTTAAAATATCTTTCATTCGTCTATTATTCAACTAATATTTATGACGCTCCCACCATGTGCAAAGCGCTTTCTGAGGTACTCACTCTGCATTTGTTGTTTTATTTACTCTTCCAAACAATCTTCTTCAAGAGGGATTATTATCCTCATCTTAAGGTGGAAAAAAATTGAGCCTTAACGAGATGAAGTGACTTGGTCAGGGACCCCAAGCCTGTTAGTGGCAGACCCAGAATTCGTTCCATCTTGGTCTCTAGCTTCAGAGTCGGTGTGCCCTTCCCAGATCCCCTGCTGTTCTGGAGTGGGGCTTGGAGTGGGGGATGGTCCTGAACTCTGCACCTCTGGGGGTGTGTCCTGACTCGTGGTGGGAGTGGCCAAGGGGCCAGAGTGGAGTGAAACTGGAGGAGAGGGAGAAAACGCCATCCTCCCCTTACAACGGCCAGATGTGCAAGAGCAGAACCGGGGAACCCATCGGCCCTTCCCACCAAATAGGCAGCTCCTGGGACCCCACCACGGCTTGCACCCAGCCGCCACCCAGGGCCAGGGCAGCCCTTACTGCCTGGTGGGATGGAACCAGCACTCCAAGGCTGCTCTTAACCCGTGAGAGTTTGCTTTCGGTTTGGGATTTCCCTGGCTCTGTTCGTTCTCAGGAGCAACTCCTTCGGTCAGTGAACAGGGGTTTATTAAACACCCATTTGGTGTGTGCCGGGATCTGGGGAAACCATCACGAACAAAAACCTGGTTCTTGTCCTGGAGGACCTCCCAGTCCACTGGAGAGATAGATGTTAATGAGAAATGCACACTTACAAGTGTGTGATTATACACGGAGATAAGTTCTCTAAGGGAAAATAAACATGGTTTTCTGAGGAGCTGTAACAGAGGAACGCCAGCCAGCCTGGGCTGTTACACCTAAGCTGAAGGATGAGCTGGGGCTCACCAGGGAAGGCGAAGGGCTGGGAGGGGGTGAGAACAAGTGGGAGGGAGCATGGTATCCAGGGACCTGACAGAAACCTACAAGTCTGGAATGTGGGGAGGAAGGGAGAAGGGTGTGCGACAGCAGACAGGACCAGCGCAGCTTCAAGGCTGCCCTCTCAGGGGTTGACGTGATCCGCTTTGCATTTTGAAAAGATCCCTTTGCCATCTGGATCCTGGAATGGAACAGAGGGGCTGGGAAGCAGGGCGAGCGATGAGGAGGCTGCTGCAGGCGCCCAGGGGAGGAGGGTGGATCTGGGGAGCTGTGGATGCGTGCCAGGGACACAAGGGGGAAGGGGAGAGATGGTTCAAGGGTTACTCCTGGGTTTGGGACTTTCACATATTGAGCGGATCCTTCTCAGAATCTTAGTGCAAAGTGCACTGGGCAAAAACATCCCACGTGTCCTTGATCTTCAAAATTTGGCCCTGGAGCACTCCTGTGTGGCCCCAGCTATTCAGGTAGTGGCGATGCTGGCAGGGGTCAGAGCTGGGATCCCTAAAGGTCACTGTGAATTGCCTGGTTGCTGAGACTGGTGAGCTGTTACCTAGAGGGGTGGGCAGTGGCCTACTGGAGGCTCGGCCACTGGTCCAGCAGTCAGCCACATAGAACACATATGCAGCTGCTTGGTTCCAAGGAGGAAGGAGACTGAGGCCCCAGGGTGGAAGTGAATTGGCCATGGTCTCCTTTCGGTTCCCCTCATTCCAGGTCTCTTTTCAGGGGCCCCATCCATCTGTCCCGGAACCACTCTCATTAGTTCCTACACGGGAAAAATGGAGGGCTTTAAGGCAGTCTTGGCCTGGGCACCCTCCCAGGAGCCCCAGATCTTGATAGTACAACCAGGAGAAAGGAAGAGCAGAGGAGATGATGAGTAATAAGGACAAGAGCCACCTGGACAGGCAGGTGGTGGCCCTGGAACTGCTCCTGCACTCTTAGCACTGAGGCCGTCATGATGATAGTAGTAACGATGGTAATGTGGCTTTCTTTTTTATTTTATTTTATCTTATTTATTTTATTTTTTCTGAATATTAACTATGTGTTGAGTGTTCTATGTCCTTACTACTCAAAGTGGTCCATGGACAGCAGCGTCTCCTGGCATGACCTGGGATGTTAGAAATGTAGAATCTCAGGCCCCACCCTAGACCTACTGAATCAGAATCTACATTTGAAAGAGATCCTCATGATTTCAATGCATATTAAACTTTGCTGTTTATGTAATTCTCTTATTTAATCCTTGTTAGCATCTGAGGAAGACTTTTTTATCCCCCATTTTTCAGGTGGGGAGACTGAGGGTTCAGACAGGTTAAGTAACTTACCCGAGATTATACAACTAGTAAAGGACCAGCACCAGAGTAGGGTCAGCACAAAGCTCCTCTCTGCTTAGATAGAACACGCAGTATTGGGCTAGTGACTGCCCTCTGAGGCCAGCCGGGCCTCGGCCCTGTCATTGAGATTTGGGTTCACTTTAAAGGGAATTTGGGGGTGGCCCCTGGCAGAGTGTAGCCTCAGACCAACAGGTAAGTGTTAGAAGCACCCTGGCCTCTCCTGCCCCCAGGACATGAGATGCCCCAGGGTCATGTCCAAGCCTGCCAGGGCCACCCTGGAAGGCACACAGCCACCTGGCCCAGCCTGTGACCCTGGATCTGGGCCAGGAGCAGATGGACTGCAGAGGGAGTGTCGAGAGAGCCGCTGACCCCCCTTGACTCAGGACAAGTGCTGCATTCTAAGGCCGCCCAGTTGGTTGTTTTGCTGGGACGGGCTGGAAAGTGTGTGTGTGTGTGTGTGTGTGTGTGTGTGAGAGAGAGAGAGAGAGAGAGAGAGAGAGAGAGAGAGATCACTCAAGTGGGCATGCGCAGAGTATGTCAGGGAGAAAATTCCAGAAAGAAGCCAGTTGGAAACTGCACGAGGAAAAATTCTGTTTCGGGGAGCATGGGGGCTGGGGAATGAGGAAGCGGGGGGGAGCATCAAGGTGGTGCCGTGTAAAATAAGCTAGCCGGCTTGGGAGTCAGGAGCTCTGAAATCTGATCTCAGCTCTGGCAGTACGTCTCTCTGCTCCTGGGGCCTCAGTTTCCCCTTCGAAGGGCTGGACAAGTACCCCATCATCTCTACAATTCCTTCAGCCCCGACTTTCTTTCATCCTAATGAATAGATGATTCCCCATAAACCACATGCCACGGAGGGTCCCCGAAGGAAGGTCCCAGGGGGCACCAGGCTGCCTCCTGATCCAAGGGTGGGCACCCCCTCCTGGCAGCCCAAAGCCTCACTAGGGCAGAATGCGGAGGATCTGAGAGGAGGGGCGACCCCCGGGAAGGAGGGAGGCCCGGAGCGGGCAAGAGGGGAAGCCCGGCTCCAGGATGCCCAAGGAAAAGTTGGGGAGCTGGCTGTGGTGAGACAAGAGGGCCTAAAGGAAGCTCGAGGAAGAGACAGAGAAAGTCCGGTGAGACATAAAGGCCTGCTGTGTACACAGCCTTGGCGAGTACACGTGACCCCCACTTCCTCCCGCCCCTGGGGGCAGCTGGCACCGCGGGGTCCACACCTCCCACTCGCCCGCAGGTGCTGGCCCTGCCCGCCCCGTCCCCGGGCTCCAGGTCGCCAAAGCCCAGAGCAGAGCCCTGGGTCTTCCCCGGTGAGAGAGGGGGAAAGAAACATCCTCTTCGGGGACTGAGGATTCAGAGACCTTCAGTGCTGTAGCTGGTTTCCGCCTCAGAGCCAGGAGATGCAGGAGGGGCTGTTTTTTCCATTTTGGGCTCTTTGTCTCCCCTTCACACTCCCCTCCCCGCCCCCCAAGCGACCATGAGCCAGCCTTAGTGACCTTCCTGCTTTGGGCCCAAGCTCAGTACTCTTGGCTTCAGACAAAGGAGTTCTGGGGCCCAGGTGAGAGGAGGCTCACCTCCCACTCTCCTCACGCCCCCAGCCCAGCCCCATCCTCCAGCAGGAAGCTCAGAGGCATAATTAACCCAGCCTACAGCCAGGCCAGGACTGCAGACTCCGGGATGTGATGGCCCGGGAAGGGCCTTTGAGAGGTGACGACCCTGAGCTGGGGAGGACCAGGGTAGGAGCGCGGGGACATTCTGTGCCCCCCGCCCCGGACCCTTAAAGACGGTACTGCTGGGGCTTCAGCCTCCAGGGGAGCCTTCCCTTCCAGGAACTGGAATCAGGGCCCACTGAGGAACTGCGGGGAAGAGGAGCAGGGCAACGCTGCCTTCCGGAAGCATTAGAAGGGTTATGTACCTTGATTAGTACATAGTACATAGTGATAGTGAAGAAAAGGCCTGGAAAGCTTACAGAGGTCATGTGGAGACAGTTGGAA